CATGATCCCTAATCTAACCATCAAAAGTGGATAAATAAAAGGGAGAAAGACGTGGGGTTAGAAGACATGCACACACGCACACACACTTATTACAACATTGTGCCCTCACGAAGGAGGGTTCAAATGAATAAGCTAACTAGCTACGCTATTTAAGCTAACTATTATAACACAATTGAAGCTAACTAACTTATTCTAAGCTAATTACTTACAACAAAATGAATTAAGCTAATTAATTACAACACTTGTACGAATGAATTGGCTAACTTATTCTAAGCTAACAAAAAGTGACTAAATGGCCTTGAGGGAAAATGATGCATGCATACTCGGTTGATCCACCCGAAAATGCTATTGCCTTGCCATCAGATGCCTCTGTTTGCACTCGTTTGATCTCTGAAAGTTGTGCCAACTCCTAGAATGCCTCAGCTTCAACTCAGGAGCACATTTGTGCAAAAATTCACTGGTGGCCGATCGGCTACTAACAGTGGCCGTCGGCCACTAAAACTGACCGGTCGGCCACCCCATCCCCGAACTTCCTTTTTTTTGTTGCGATAGAGAGAAAATAGAGGCAAAGTAATGTATTTTCAAGGAGTGTGTGCATTTTTACTCTCCTTATCATTACACAAGTTCAAAGGAGTGTAATTTTCAGCCCTCAAACCATCAACCAAGCATTTTCAATGCACGATGGCTAAGGAGCCAAGCTTGTACAAGTTAATGAATGCAAAACAAGACTCGACAAAACCACGACCCTATCATTCAAGATCAAGGGTAAGGGCGACCGAGAAAAGTGGCACATTTTATTACTTTGAGTATGAAATGTCCTATTTTTCTCGTGTTCGAATTGACGTCTGATTTGAACACATGCAATGCAACACGAAGATGCTTAATCTTGCCTCTTTTACTTTGTTCATTTTGTTTACACAATTTAGATTACCAATCCATTCTTTAATTGATTAGTCCAAAATGTGAGTGTCCTCTAATGGGAAGAGGGCTTAAACCACAAGTGCCTTTAGCTGGAAAGTGACCTCATGCCGTTGGTTAGTAGAAACCCTCAAAAGAGGATTAAAACCATTAAGCATAAGTGTCTCAATTTCACACTTAAGCCAACAAAGGGTTCAAAGCCACTTTCAAAATAGATGAAAGACTGAGGAATAGAGGGAGATTGCAGGGATTTCAATGCTAAAATGGAGTGCAAAATGACACTAAATCATGCAAGAAACTCATGCAATTCATGTTTAAAAGCCTAAAACATTAAGCTAGTGAAGGAGATTGCACTACAACCACACAATACAAGCCTCAAAGGACCAAACTAGCTCAAAACAGAGCTAAGACCAGTCAAAATAGTGCAAAAGCATGCTGAAATGAAGGTAAAAAATGCTAGAAAAACATGCTCACATGCTAAGCTATCCAGGCTTGCAAACATGACTCAAGAGCAACTCTTAAGAGCAATGAAAGAGTGAAACAAATGAGCATGTGCCAGAGCTATATATGCTGAAATTACATGTAAAAAGATACTACAATATGTAACCAAATCAAGCAAATCATGTTTGAAGGCCTAAAAGAACAAACTAGTGAAGCCATTTGCACTACAACTATGGAAAACAAGACTCATATGACCAAAGCAGCCCAAAACAGAGCTAAATCAGTCCAAATCAGAGGCAAACATATGCTGGAAATAAGCTAGGTTAAGCCACAAAAACATGCTACCATGTGATGCTAACTAGGCATGCAAGTAAGACACAAGGAGGGGAGGCTACCCCCTCCAATTTTGGACTTCAAAATGAGGTTTTGATCACTGAAAAACCTCTGAGATTTAGTGGTTAAAAGGCCCAAGAAAGTTGGTTTAAAGGTGGTGAAAGATGGCACAAAAAACTATACAAGCTAAGAAATAAAAGGGAGAGACAACCCCCTAACTCAAAAAGGCCTCAAACCACCATTTTTAGGTCATAAAAACAGAGGCTTAAAGGGGAAAGGTTATACCTCTTGAAGCCAAGCACACTTTAGGCACAACTGAGGCACAAATCAAGCTCAAATCACCTTCTCAGGATCAAAGAAGGTCCCAAGGAATCTCAGCCCAAAGATAAGCAACTTTGATCAAGGATGTCTAGGCAAAGAAGGAGTGTATCTCTACTTGTAAGCACAAAAGGGCAAGAGAGAGAGAAATTTAGAGAGAGAGAATTGTAGAGAGAGAGGATTTTTAGAGAGAGAGGCTCCCAAAAGTTGCTAACCTTGCAATATGAGAGATATGGCCTCCATATGTAGAAAAAAGAGAGCCTTGGTCGAAAATATCAATTCATAAATATCTGGAGCAGTGTGGAATAGCTGGAGGGGAAATATCTGCAAAATATCTGAGTTTTGGGCACCAGTGGCCGACCGGCCACTTTTGGTGGCCAACGGCCACTAATTATGGCCGACAACCCTCACTTCTAGCCGACCGGCCACCACTGGTGGCCGACAGGCCACATTTGTGGCCGACCACAAAAATCTACTTTTCTGGCCCGACTTCAAATAAGCATATCTCCTTCGTCTAGACTCTTTTACACGTCATTTGTTGTGCCTAAATTGAAGCCCCAGAAGTATTCTTTGCAATGGTGGCAGCCTCACATCAAAATTCCATGTGTGAAAAAAGATATGCTCATTTTAGAGAAGACCGCTCAGTTTTGGTCCTAACTGGATTGATGCCCAACTTCAACCAACCATATCTCCCTCATCTGAACTTGGCTTTTGGAGATTCTTGAGTGAAAAACGAAGCCCCGGAAGTCCAATTTCCAATGGTGGTGGCCTCATAGCTAAAATCGAAGTGTACAAACGGATAGGCCTGATTTAGCGAGGGCTGCTCGACTCTCTCTCTTAACGATTCATGCCCAACTTCTTCCCCAACTAGGTTTCTTCCCTGTCCTCCAATTTTATTCAACTCCTAACCTCTAAACAAGATATTTTGGAACATTTTTCAAAAAGTTCACCTCTCTTTCGTGCATTTCCACTTTGTCCTGGCTCGGTTTACCGAAATGCGTAACATTTAACGAAATGTGAGCCTCGGAACATCACAGAAACTTTGTTTCAAAATATTTTGAAAGAGAGGGTTTTAAGGTCTAAATGCTTTTTGGTCCAAAAATGGGGTGTAATGTTGAGATTTGACGCTCTCCGTGCCAAAGAAATCAAACCTTTGCCCTGCACACCTTTCATCACCAAGTAAGCGATTAGTGGCACCCAAGTCTTAAGGGCGATCAAAAATAGGGTGTCTACACTATATAAACTAGTAAATGAGACACAAGGAAGAGAGGCTAACCCCTCCAATTTTGGACTTTAAAACATATTTTTAGCCACTAAAATAACTCTGAAAATCAGTGTTTAAAAGCTTAAAAAAACATAGTGTAAAGGTGGGAAACACAAGGGTAAAGGCTGGAGAAGCAAGGTGGAAATAGAGGTGAACCACCGCTCCACCCTTTAAGGCCTTAAAGCACAAGTTTCAGCCCAAAATTTTAGAGTTTACGTAGCCCAAAAATAGTAGAAAAAATAGTAGGAAAATAATAGGAAAATTGCAAACAAAACTAAAGGAAACAAGCTAAGCCTTATACCTCTTTAAGAGGAGAGCAGTTCCAAGAAACAATACAACCCTCAAGAGCTCTAGTAAGGCTCA